TCCTACCAATTGATAAGTTCACAGTAAACTTTTAATAGTTCAAAGCTGGAAAAATGCTGGGTCGAAGTTCTTTAACACTGCTGCTCATTGGCTTGGTGGTATCCGAGGTAAGTCGACAATTTCAGTCGATTTTTTTAAAATTTTTCATCAAATAATTTCAAAAATGGAAAGTGTCCTTTTTTAAGTTTTTCAATTGAAAACAAACTTCTATTCCAAAAAAATGTCCACAGAAAACATTTATTTTATTAAAAACAGTTGAAAACTGTTATTAATACATTTATAATTAATCTCATCCGCTGTTCCCATTCCAATTGAAAAGTTTCTGAAACTGAAACTGAAATAAAACTCGACGCGGTTACGGTTTCTGAATGAATGAACAAAATTTATTATATTAACTGCTCTTTTATACAATACAGTTGACCTATTTCGCTTTGTTTTATATTTAAATACCGTCGGCCTGTTTTACTGATCTATTTCCGTGTTTGATGTTAAATATACACAGGAAACGAATTTGCAAAAAATGATGTTATGTTTGGATTTCCAAACATTCTGGGGCCTCCTCTATGTTGGTTGAACATTCCGGAATCTGAACTTTCTTCTTGAATTTTAAACGCGGAATGTGTCGCTTCTTATGAATTATTATAAATATAATGATACAAATTAATAACAATACATAAATTGATACATAATGGTGTACGTTGTGTGCTACATATGGTTTGAAATGCTTATTTTTTAAATCGTTTATTTGTTCGTTTAACTGTTGAAGAGACGTATCAGTGTTGTATCGGACATCTCGTAATACTAATTGTTTTGGTTGATCTCGAAGAATGTCAGTTAAGTTGAACGGAGGAATGAAAGACGCGTTGATAGTGCTTCGAATAGTCTTCAAAGAACGGATTACGAAATTGAGTTGCTCGATTATACACTGATCGTAAAAATTGATGATGCCCGAGCCCCTCAATGTTTGTGTGTGTAGTTTATCGCCGCAAAGGATATCGATTGTTTTAGAGTCGTTGGCCACATACAGCCACCTATTGGTGGTGGTGAGTTGAGACCAAAATGACACCCCTTCTCCGCGGTGAACTTGGCAGCTCGATGAAATCCCAGTATGTGTTAAAATACCGATTTCGCAGCTGCACTTCCCGGATGTTGTTTTATACAGCGGATGTTTCTGGTGGCATGCATACGAGTTCTCTCTGCGTCGAGTGCATCGTAAAAGTTCAATCTCGTTCAATGGATAGAACAGGGTACGTTGTAAATTGATTATGAGGTACTCTGTGCTTGGCTGGACGTACAATGTTTCGTTTTGTTCTATGATTGGCATGGGCTGAATTCGATATAATTGAAATTCTCTGCTTGATTGTAGCGGTATCTTTACTTCGAACAGAACGGTTGATTCGATGCTGCATGTGCGAACTCTCATTGTTGAATAGAGCTCGGCGACGTCGCTTGGGATAGATAATTCAGCCGAAAGATGATTTTTTATCAGAGTAATTTGCTTTCGCACCTCCTCGACTGGAAAGAGAAGAGGGTTCAATTTACCATGATGTGTATCGATAATTATATCGATCAGATTCCTCTGGATGACCTCCATCCGACTCGACAAAATCATTAGTTGAAGTCCCATGTCCAGGAAAATTTGATGTCTTTTTTGTTCCGATAAAAGTAGATGATCATCGGTGTAGCTTTTTTTTATTCTTTCCAAGTTTTTCTGCATTATGTCAAAGCCACTGCGAACCTTCTCTTCGTTATGATAAATAATTTGACTTGTAGCTTGCATAATTGAGACGTGTTGATCCAAAAGTTTCGCCGTGTTCTGTTCATTTTCTCTTGTTTTTTGGATTTCAGCAACATATTCCTTTGCGTATCGTTGATCGAGTACGCCGAAGGCCTCACTAGCGATCATGCCGATGAAATCAAATGGAGATCGACGTTGTCTGCGATTATGAAGTTGATTTATTTTTATGAATTCGTCACCCAAATTCAATTCGTGCAATTTGATTTCAAATTGCTCGATCACTGCTCGGCACGATGGTTGTTCGTAGTTGATTTCGTCACACAATTTTCTCATTTGTTCGATCGTCTGTAGTTGTTGAGTGTGATACTGCAGGTAATTTGACAAATTGTAGTGAATTAAGATTGTCCAGTCTCCGGTGATGAAACGTACATCGCCGATTTGTTCAAAATAGATGCCAGGCTGGTTGGAAAACGTTGTCACATTAAAAGGTGAGCCAAAAATCTTTGCGAATAAACCAAATAATGCAATCAAAGTGAATTGATTGATGAGCGCTCGCGGCCGCAGATTGTATGTTCTTTTTATTGGTTTGAGTGTTGATCGTTTTTTGTTGATTTTGGAATTTTCAAGATCGTTGACGGCTGTCGCTTCAACCGGCGTCAATTTTGGAAGAAGACACAGTTTTGTGATCGGCCTTTTTATTTCGCCTTTCACCGTTCTTAGGGTAGCCACTCTAACTAAACCGTCAGAGCCTGGATACACGCGACTTACCCTACCCTTTAACAATTGCGTTGGAGGTGAGTTGTCATCCTTGATGAGGACCAAATCGTTGATTTCAAGATTTTGTCGTTGATTTAGCCATTTTGGTCTTTGCTGTAGACGTTGCCGATATTCCGTCCCCCACTTTTTCCAAAAAAGATGAATTTGTCTCTGTACCGCTTGCCATCTCGATATTGTGGACGACTGGAGCTCGTCGATCGTATCGTCGGGTGGGGCCAATAGCGAAGAACCGACTAGAAAATGACCCGGAGTCAGTACATCCAAATTGGTTGGATCATCGTTGAGCGGACATAACGGACGGGAATTTAAGCACGCTTCTATTTGTGTTAATAGGGTGGTGAATTCCTCATACGTAAAATTGGTTTTGCCCATTCGTTTTAAATGAGTTTTGATCGATTTTACACCGGCTTCCCACAGTTCGCCGAAATGAGGTGCTGCTGGAGGGTTGAAGTGCCACTGAATTCCATTTGCGGCTAATGCATTCGAAATATCTTCTTCGAATTGTCGTTTTTCATGTTTTTCGAGTGCTGCTAAAAGTTTGTTCGCTCCCACGAAATTGGTACCATTATCACTGTAGAGATGTTTGATTTGACCGCGCCGGCTACAAAATCTACGAAGCGATGCTATGAAAGCCGTGCTGGTAAGAGAGCTCACCGCTTCGATGTGGATGGATTTAGTTGTGAGGCAGATAAAAATACAGATATACCCCTTTGACGTTTTTTGTCCTCTACCGCTCGACGTTCTTATGTCAATAGGGCCGGCGAAGTCGATTCCGGTATGCGTGAACGGACGAGAAACATTTAAACGCACTTCAGGCAGTGCAGCCATTCGCTGGGTCATAGTTTTTGCATTGAAGCGAGCGCATTGTTGACACGATCGTATGTACTTTTTCACCGTGTTGAGACCCTTGGGAATCCAAAACTTATTGCGCAAAAATGTGAGTGTTGAGGTTGCTCCACCATGGAGTGTCATTCGATGCGCATAAAGGATGATCAAGTGAGTAACATGATGGGATTTAGGCAGAATCATTGGATGTTTTTGATTGTATGGTAAATTACCGTTTGCTAATCGACCGTTTACGCGCATAATAAAGTTGTTGTCAAGAAATGGGTTGAGTGGATTCAAATGACCTCTTACCGATTCGTTGTTTTGTAATAATTGGATTTCTTCGTGATAACTTTCTCGTTGTACATTTCGCACTATGGAGTCGGAGGCGAGATTCAATTCAGCTGCAGTGAGTGGACCGAAAGTTTTACGTCTCTGCTTGCAATTGTTGATGAATCTGTGGCAATAAGCCACCACGCGTTGTAGCTTTTCGAAAGATGAATATTTTTCTAATGGCCACAATTGAATGGGTTCAGTCAAAATGGAGAATATTTGTATTTGGGTTTCATTTATGGGGCACGTAGCATCCTCTGGCCAATATTCAGGTGATTGCTGTAGAAAAGATGGACCCTGCCACCACAACTGATGATCTATTAATGCGCTGGGTGTCAAACCCCTTGATGCACAATCCGCTGGATTGTCGTGCGTCGGAACATGTCGCCAAATCAAACCGGCGGCTCGAATTTCGCCAACTCTGTTGGCAACAAATGTTTGCAGTTTCGTGCCATTATTGCGAATCCATGCGAGAGTGATCGTTGAATCACTCCATGCGTAGCATTCAATATGGTCTCGTTTTATTACCTTTTTTACTTTTTCGAAGAGTCTTACCAATAACACTGCTGCTGATAATTCCAATTTGGGCGTGGTTAATTTTTGTATTGGTGCAACTCTTGTCTTCGCTGCAAACAAAGAAACATTAACCTTTTCATCATCTTCTATGATCCGTGTATAGATCGTTGCCGAGTACGCATCGTTCGATGCGTCGCAAAATCCATGGAGTTGAATGCTGCAGGTGGATACTGTTTTGATCCATTGTGGTACGCGAATTCGTTCAAGTAACGGAAATTCGATGCGGTACTTTTGGTACACCCCGTTGATCTCTTGTGGAATGGTTTCATCCCACTTTGTTCCATGAATCCATAACTTTTGATACAAGATTTTGATGAGAATCGTCGTAGGTGCGAGCCATCCGATGGGATCGTAGATTTTTGCTGTTGTTGATAAGAATTTACGCTTTGTTGGCACCTCATCATTCGCTGCTATCGATGCCGTTTTGTAGGAAAAACAATCGGTTTTTGGGTTCCATTGCACGCCGAGAGTTTTAACTGTGCTGTTTATATCGAATTCAAGACTGTTTGGTATGCCCCTTTCTTCTTCAGGCACATCCGCCAATGTCAACTCGTCGTTTGCTATCCATTTTCGAATTTGAAAACCACCTTTCGACATCATTTCGGTGATTTCCACACGTAGCTTGATCGCACGCTCTCTCGTTTCGCTTCCGGAAAAGAAATCATCAACGTAGAAATCCCTTTTCGCTGCTGGTGCTGCAAGTGGAAAATTTTCGGCTTCGTCGTCGGCCAATCGATGTATTGTTTTAATAGCCAAATATGGTGCTGGAGTTGTGCCGAATGTCACGGTGATAAGTTTAAAGTCACGGATTGGCTCGTTCTCATTTTCTCGCCAAACAACGCGTTGATACTCCGAATCCTCATCATTCATGATTATTTGTCGATACATGCGTGCGATATCGGCATTAATGACGAATTCATACGTTCGCCACCTCATTAAAATGGCCATGATGTCATCTTGAATGGTTGGACCGGTTAACAGTTGTTCGTTTAATGTCTTACCATTTGTTGTACGTCTCGATGCATTGCAGACGCAACGACATTTCGTTGTGGAGCTGGTTGTTTTAAGTACAGCATGATGAGGTAAATACGCGCATGTAAACGTTTCTTCACCGTTGATTGTTGTTTTATGCTGATCTTCTGTGGTATTGACCTCGACGATGTGACCATTTTCGAAGTATTCTCTCATGTTATCGATGTATTGTTGCTTAAATTGCGGATCGGCGCGGAATTTTTTCTCTACTCCAAACAATTGTGCTACTGCAATGTTGCGTGATCGGCCCAAAATCGGTTTGCCATTGCGAAATGGTAAACGGACTTGATATTTGCCAGACTGTTCACGGATGGTGGTTTCGTCATATACTGTTTCGCACCGCCTTTCTTCTTCAGAAAGGGAAGATTTTTCGCCGTTGATTTCTTCAATTTGCCAAAATTCCTTTAACTGTTGATCGACCGATTCCTCTTCGCGGCAAATGACAAAACACGCAAGCTCGCTGTCACCTGGTTGTGTTGTTTTTCCGTTTAAAATCCAACCCGCACTTGTACGGGTTGCGACTGGTGCTCCGTTTTTGCTCATTTTCAATCCTGGCAACACAATTTACCCCATTCATCGCCCCCCAACAAAACATCAATACCTGCTGGTATATTGTATTGTGGATCTGCTAACTTGAGCTTTGACAAGTGATTCCATCGGTCATCTGGTTCGATAAAAGCCGTTGGTAATGGCTGTGAGACTTTCGCCATATGAGACTTTCAACGCATTTGTTTGGATCATTTTTTTATTATCGCTGTTGTTATTAGCACTGAATGTTAAACTGGCGAAATTTTTTGCTGTGCCAGCAACGACGTCACCGATTATCTTAATTGGTTGATCCAAACGTGCTCGTAGAAGTTGTAACAATTGGGCAGCACGTTCGGTGATAATGGTTGCTTGACTGGCCTGATCGACCAATGCTCTCATGATGTAGCTGACTCCGTTTTCGCCGTAACAGATGATGAGTGCCGTGGCCAATAATACGGTCGGATTATCGTATTGTGTGACTGTTACATTGATTGGGCTTACCTTTTTATTCCAATCGTCGTTATGTAGTAAGCTATGGTGCGATTTTGAACAGGTGTTGCATTTATGCTTGGAGCGGCATTCTTTCAATGAATGCGATGGATTTAAACAGTTTACACACGCGTGGTTATTTTTTATTACTTTGTATTTTTCGTTGACGCTGAGTTTTTTGAATTCGTCGCATTTCTGGGTCAAATGCGTAAGTTTGCACTGTAAGCATTTTATGTTGGTCACTTTACTGATCGTGAATACTTGTTTTTCGCTTTTTTTAGGTTTTGTGTCGTTTTCGACTGTTTCTAATTGCTGGAATCGATTTTCTAAGAATTTCATTAACTCGTCGAATTTTTGAAGTTCGCGTGGCTCTTTCAATGATTGCTCGTACAATCGTGCGGTTTCGTTATCTAACTTCTGAACTATTATGTAATTCAATAAAAAGTCGCAATGTTTTGTTTCGATTTTTAAATTGTTTATGGCATGTAAACACTCGATCGTTGTATCATGTAATTTTTTCACTGCACTTGCCGATTCGCTGGGTGGCTTTGGCTGGTCTATCATGCGCTTGATGTACGTTTCGACCAATCGCCGGCGATTATCATACCTTTTCTTGATCATGTCCCACGCAGTCTCGTAACTATCCGATGTAACCTGGAAGTGTTGGATCAGTTTTGCGGCTTCACCAGTAACTGATGTTTTTAAATATTGGAATTTTTCAATGTTACTGAGGCTTTGGCTGGAGTGAATCATTTGTTGGTACAGGTCGCGGAATGCCAGCCAATTGGTCAACTGACCGTCGAACGGCTGTAAATTTACTTGTGGTAACTTGAGCGTCGATTTTTTTGCTGATGTTTTTTCTTGTATTTTGATGATCGCATTGTCGAAAGAGTCTTAGATCGCGTCAAATGCTTGTTGTTCATTCTCGATGTAATATTCGCCCATCATTTGCTCGGTGGTTCCATCGATCGTCTGTTCCATCGATCTTCTAGTTGCTTTGTTTTTTGCTCGTAGAACTGCTTTGTTTTTTCCTCTTGTAGATATGCTTCCATTTTCGCGATGTTTTCGTGCAATATTTTTATTTTGAGTTCACGTTTTTTCTTCAATGTGTCGAATTCTTGCTGAGACGACATTGTGCTGTTTATAGCTGCTTCGCTGTTATTCGCAATTGATGATTGATCACTCGATTCGTTTGAATTGGTGTCTGCTGTAATTTCAACCGAAATTGATGATTGTGCGGCTATGGCTGTTGCCGTTAATGTATTCGTAGTCGCTGCGGACGCTGTTGTTGTTGGTGTGGATATTACCGTGGCTGTAGGCTGTGCCGATGGCTTTACTCCTGTCGCTGTGGACGCTGTTGTTGTTGTTGTTGTTGTGGATTTTGCTGCTGTTGTTTGCTTAAGTGCTTCTCGAAATTCAGTAATTTTTTGCTTGTATTTTTGATACACTTTTTCAGTTTCTTCTTTGATTTCGCTGTAGTTTGTTATTGGTAGTTTTTTCTCACTTTCCAACAAAACTGAGTTGCTGTCGAATTGTTCTTTTGTTTTTTCCAAATCACGTTCACTTTTGTCTATAAACTCTTTAGTTCTCAAGTGTGTGGGTTTTTTCTTGAAATTTGTATATGACCACTCTATATCGTCGGCACTTTGTTGTTGTTCTGCGAGCAATTTTTCCATGAGGAACTTATTGGTGCAATTTTCGTTTTCGACGATTTCTTTGTCACTTTTTTCGTGGCTTTCACTAACAATTTCACTTTTATCGAAATGGGCTGGGCTTCAAACGGTCTGTGTTTTATTTGAATACGAAGTCGAAGGACTATGAAAAGTTTCTGAAACTGAAACTGAAATAAAACTCGACGCGGTTACGGTTTCTGAATGAATGAACAAAATTTATTATATTAACTGCTCTTTTATACAATACAGTTGACCTATTTCGCTTTGTTTTAAATTTAAATACCGTCGGCCTGTTTTACTGACCTATTTCCGTGTTTGATGTTAAATATACACAGGAAACGAATTTGCAAAAAATGATGTTATGTTTGGATTTCCAAACACCAATTGTACCACTTTGATTCTAATTCCACAGTTCTTAATCGGGGATGTGAGTGGAGCACCACCCGGGAGGAACGGTAAGATTGAATTTTCATTTATTTATCCAGTTAAACTCTTGAATTCCATATACAAAGCACCTTGTAACGAAGATATGGGAACCTTATTTATGCTAAACTTTTCATATTTATTTGGTAAACGAAAAAGACAAGAATGGAGAGACAGCTCTGCATAGAGCTGCTTATGCTGGTAATTTTGGACATGTTTTTTAAAAGAACGTTTTGTTCAATTCGTTTCATTGATCTATGAATATTTTTCATATTATTTCAGGCGAAGTGAAGGAAGCTCAAAACCTCATCGCTTTAGGAGCCGACCCCAATGTTAGAAATTATCAGAATGTGACACCTCTGCATTATGCTGCTTTGAAAGGTAACGTTGAATACTTATTGTTATTGAATGAAAGATTGACCTGATTTTTTCCCATCGATCGGTGTTATTGTTCAGGTCACAAGAGTATCGCCGAGCTTCTCATCCACAATGGAGCCAATGTTGATACTGCAAATGATCAGAAATGGACACCTCTTCATGTAGCTGCATTCTGTGGTAATGTTGATTATTTGTTCTCACTAAAAAGGAAAACGGATTTATTTTTTCATCGATGTGTGTTATTTTTCAGGTCATCCGAATGTTGCTGAATTTCTCATCCGTATAGGAGCAAATGTTGATAGTGAAAATAATTTGAAAAACACACCTCTTCATTTAGCTGCTGAGAATGGTAATAGTTGAATACTTGTCTTTATTAAAAGAAGATTGATTTGATCTTTTTCATCCATCTAAATTTCTTTTTAGGTCATAAGAGTGTCGCTGAACTTCTCATCCACAATGGAGCCAATGTTGATACTGAAAATTATAAGAAATGGACACCTCTTCATGTAGCTGCATTCTGTGGTAATGTTGATTATTTGATGCGGTTGAAATGAAAATGAGACTTTCGTCGCTCAATACACAGATACGAAACAAAAATAAAGCAATCCATTAAAATGGAACATGGAAAAGAAATCCGTAAGAATGAAACATAGCATGTGCTGTTTTAAGTATTTCGCTTTGCGGTGTTCCGTTTTGATAGATTTTTTGTCTGCAGTGTCGTTATGAACGAATCTTCTCGCATTGTGTCATATCACTGGATCTATATCACATTGTTTCGTTACTCGAATATTTTTTCGTGTGTTTCATTTCAATTGAATTATAAGCGATTATGAATGAACGTAATGAAAAATTTACGATCATTCATAATCGGTTGCAAATCGACGTTGCCAGAACATGCACAATCTCGTTTGTGTGTGCAATGTCTATTGCGCGTTAATTTTCAGCATCGAACCAGCAAGCAACTGTGTTGTTCGTCGAACAACCGATTATAATACACTTGAAAATTGCACATAAGTGTGAGCGAAATAGCATAGGCAAATGCAATTGAATATAATATTATTAAATTTTTGCACATGGAAATATCTCGAAAACGGCTGGGTAAATCGCCAAAATGGACCGTGATGTCACTCCCAATTGGGAGTGTATACACCCGACTGGTTTGATGGCCTAGAATACAAATCCGGTGAAATTTCGGCTGATCCATGGATTCTCAGGATTTGGCCAGATTCCAGTGCTTCCTTTTTTATGTGCATCTGTAAAAACATTCTACCTATGTTTTGTTATGAAAGAAATTGAAGTGCTAGAATCAGGTCGAATCCTGAGAATCCATGGATCAGCCCAAATTCCACCGGATTTGTATTCTAGGCCGTCAAACCAGCCGGGTGTTTACACTCCCTTTGGGAGTGACATCATGGTCCGTTTTGCCGATTAACCCAGCCGTTTTCGAGATATTTCCATGTGTACATTTGGCCATAGAAGCCAATGCAATACCAGCGGCGCTCCGAGGTTTTCATACAAACTCCCCATGTAGACGGTCGGAAACAGGCAAAAATCGAAAAAAAAGTTTAAATTTTTTTTTCGATCCTCAAATAGTATTTTTTTTGCCCAATCCATTGATGTTATCGCCACATCGAAATTTGGGCTCCTTATCACTTAATTTGCATCATGTGATAAATGCTAGTGACGTCATCAATAGCTCGGGAATCAATTTCGGAATCGTTAACTTATTCTTTTTTGGTGCTACTCTTGTTTTAGCGACAAAAAACTCGACGTTGATAATATCGTTGTTTACACTTCGTACGTATATCGTTGCACAATACGCGTCACTACTGGCGTCACAAAACCCGTGTAATTGAATCTTCGCATTTGGGCCGCTGCCGATCCACCGTGGTACCGCGATGCTTTGAATTAATGGCAATTCTTTTTTTATTTTTTGCCACTGATCAATTGTATTTTCGGACATTTTGTCGTCCCACTCAACGCTTTCTTTCCATGCATTTTGCATCAAAATCCGGGCTTTGATGATCACTGGTGCTAAAAACCCAACTGGAT